GTATTCATTATGTCCTCTATCGTTTTCAATGCAAATTTGCACGTTCCAATTCCTTTTTGTACACTGTATGTCACACATCTTGAGTACATATGTATTTTGCTGTAATTCTTTCATTTCAACCATTGTGTTATTCTTTCCCATAGATAAGCGAGTATTTCCCTGTTATAAACCACACTGTCAAACAAAATATTCCAGTAATACGGGCATTGTTGCATTGGTTTAATCAGATTACATATCTGGTAAGTTTTTGTCTCTATCGATCGATCTCCAGCACCTCTGCGGTTAATCTTTGACATCAAGATCGATGTAAATTCAATTGAGGTGTTGGTTAACCGCCTTTAGTTTCATAACATAAATATTAAATCCACCGTATACAGTGAAACCTGAAATCTTCCATATTCCTGAGATGATCTGAGATGATATTGCGAATCTGGATCAATGTACACTAATAGGCAGAATCATATAACAAAGATACCAATATTTTATACAGTATTTACATAATATCTAGAAATTCTAGCCAGCGTCATGTACCAGAGATCGAGGGAGTCCAGTTTCCATTGATCTGTACAGGTAAGCCATGTCCAAGATTTCGAACCGCTTACGTCACGGCAACCCTTACATGTACAAATTTAATGGAGCACAGTTTGTGTGACACTCGCTGCGATGCGAAGGATGAAGTGTTTGCATCAGGAATATAGAAATGGAACAATGTTTTGATTTTGGACCAATCGCAGTATTCTTCATGTGTCGAGAAGCCTATTTTCGAGAAATGAATCTCATTTTCGGCTTTGCAATGTAGAAATAAATGCAACGACATACTACGGTTGTACTCTATACGGATAGATAGAACGACAAGAAATCCTTATCAACAAAAACAAAAGAAAATGAGCACATTATACAATGATGCTAAAGTAACAACGGCTAATTCAAATGCACATAACATCTAAGGATAATAAACGGAAACGAGTTTTAAAGTTTTAAAAAATATTGAAACACAAAACATCAGATATAAAACAGTTCTGAATTATTTCCCCTCAACATAAGTAAAGATAACGGAATAAACCCCAGCCGTGCTCCAGGTTTTCAAAATTAGTCATATAAAAACGCCAGTTGCTGTCGTGAGGCGACCTTGTTATTTCTGAACATTGCACAACGGTTCCTTACACAACCCAAAATAAATAGGTGTGCATCAGAGGCAAGCGTTATTCCAAGAACCACAATGTCACGATTTTCTGATCGATACTAGATCTGGTGACGTTTTCTGAAAGGTGCGCCATTTTCTGAAGCGGATTGTGGGCGACAGAGCAGTGCCAGAGGTAGGTTCCAGGTATTAGGAGGGTGAAGGTATAGCATTGATGGTACCTTAACCTTTGCAATCAGACGAAATAAAGAAAAATAGTCGGTAGTTTCAGAGAAGTGAAGGAACCAGCGTAACCATATTCTAGGTAAGAGAGAGGCGTTCTTTAAGGGCGGCTGTGGGTGGAAGAAAGTGGAAAGCAAATAGACCATCGTAAACAGTGGTCTGGAGTGGTAGGTATGCATGTACTGAATTGCAGTTTTTCCTATTTATTCATTAAGTTTAATGTATCAACGAACAAAAGTCAAGTTTATTCGAGAACGGCACTTGAAGATAAGCAAGTAATGGTTAGTGGTGTTCTTATATGATACGAGTACGTTAAAGGTAACCAATACATTATAGAACTTCACTTAGAAAAATGTTGTATTTTTATGAAATGTGTACCCAATGCAAAACCGTTGGAGATCGTAAAGTGGGTATAGTATTTCACGCTCGAAACCAATAGTGACCCACTTCCAATTTATAAATGCTATCGTTTTCCGAGGTGTGAAAGAAATGCTTGTTAACTCAAATGCGACTTATTTCTCATGCGTTTTGCCCGTGGAACTGATTGTTATGAAACTAACACCTGCATCACAAATGAAATATTTACTTTGTGATGAAGTCGAAGATGAGTTTCATGTTATTTTGAAATACCCTTAATTTGTCACATCCACCATAGAAATTTTCGCTGAAATGTTTCTTTTATCTAATTTCTTCGGGAAGCAAAGTATTGTTTATCTTAGCACGTTGCAAGAAGGAATTAGTGTCGGGAAGAGATAATGGGAACCCCCGAATATTCCTTCCTACATGTAGCACTGTCATTCCGGGCAAACTGGGGTCTCATAGGGTTAGTACAGGTTACGTGTAAGCCACAAGTATCGTGACCAGTAAATAGGAGGATTGTCATCTGCACAAATTATGGAAGCGGACGACATTTCCTAGCCGACTACTATTTCTGTTACATCACTTACACTTACACCACTTGACGCATTCTTAAAATATAAATTAGAACAATATTAGAGTTCGCATGAATATATATAGATTTTTCAAATGGTGTCATTCTCCAATAAACAGAAATGTCACTTGGTCGGAATGTCTGGCAGAATCGGTTATTTGTTAGCTACTTCTTATTAATATATCTTAGACAGCACTGTGCATTTGTGATCGGCGAGTATAACAATAAAACCCCGCGTCAGAGTGATCTGTCTCGATCTTTTATCTGAAAACAAACACAAAAATGTTTGCAAGTAGGCAATTGTGAACTGATTATTAGAGGAATCATATTTGTTTGTACAGGGTAAGATGTCTACAGGATTTTACCAGCCTCACTTTGTTGATGGTGAATTTGCTAATGTGATTCCTTATAATGAACAGCAGTTTACGTAAAATATGGATTAGATTATTACATTTAGCCATTTGCCACAAACTTTGGAGAACACATGACGATTATTCACATTGAAGAGTGTTGTGAACAAATCAAAATCAGTAAAGTAAAAACATTATTAAGTCGCGTACACTGAATGCAATTTAGCGAGAAGAGTTAGATCGATCCAGCATAGACCCGCAGAGTTAGATCGATTCAGCTAGTACGATGAGTTCATGGGAACGCTCCTTAACTCAAACAGTTATGGATGAAATTTGAGAAAATTTTCCGGACAGATCATAAATCAGCTAAATGTCTTGACGTCTCTCTGCGCTCTCTGAGTGCCTTTCTAGTTAGAATAATAATAATAATAATAACTATTATAATAATAATTATTATTGTCTTCATTATTATTATTATTATTATAACCAGAAAGGCACTTTTATTATAATTAGAAAGACTTAATAATCATTATTATTATTATTATTATTATTATTATTATTATTTTTATGCTTTGTAAAAAGGCCAAACGTATGTCCTTCAATGAAAGCTCGCGTGGGCAAAACCAGGGCTTACCTCAGACGACTTGCAATGTCAAAGAACAAGTCCACACGTGTCAAGACATGTTTTTAAATCACGCCCACAGGTAATTAGCAGCTCAACTGAAAGGATTAACGAGAACGCTAGCTCTGACACTAGTTTATGTAAAAATGAGTCTGTACGTACTAACGCTTCAACTGTCTCTTTGTCCCGAAGAGGTACTGCATAATGTTGGTAAAATACCGATTTGGAATAAATTACCGATTGGAACAACCATAACCTCTTTATTGCATTGCCTAATATAATATAAAATCGTGACCATAGGGCAGGAAAAATATAATATATTTAGATTCACTGCAGTGTTTTGGCAGTGTAATAAAAATAAACAAATCGACAAAAATTTTAAATAAATGAGAAACGCGAGTCATGCAGCAGAGAAAATTGTCATAAATAAGCCAGGGACATGTTCGTCAATATTTAGTTTGACATCAATCTGTGGCCCTGGACGAGAGTGGCTCTGGGGCAGGGGTGGGTCGTTGGGGGGGGGGGAGTTTATGCCTGCGTTTGCTGAATCTTTCTTATCGAAGTTAAACGAGTCCGCGCTGGAAATGATCAGGGTGGGAAAGGAAGGAAAAAACAAATTAAAAGATTATTAAATGCTTTAGATTTTCCGTAAACTCCACTTGGTGGTAAAAAAAGCGACAGTTGATCTACTAATGCCTAGTAATACCACTAAAATGGCAAGGTGCAGAGCACAAAAATGACTGCATCTTCACATCACTTCAATATCACAATTTTCTCGGTGTCATATTATTCAGTGTTCATTAGTCAATTTAAAATAATTGCAGGGAGGGGATTGTCCAGGAATTGTCCATGTGGGGGAGGGGGCTGATTTGGGAAACCCACACCGGTGCTTTTGCACGAGCACAATATATATAAACGAGTCCGCGCTGGAAATGATCAGGGTGGGAAAGGAAGGAAAAAAACTATTTTTTTCCTTCCAGGCGATCATTACCAAGTTATCTTTGAACCAGTTATTGTACATGTCACCAGATTATGATTAATCTTCTCTTATAGAAAATTTTAATGTATAATTTACAGTATATGTTTACATTTTAAATATGAAATAAATAATATCTTATCATATCATATCAAAGAATACTTACGTGGGCAGAAGCTGATCTAACCTACCTCAGGCACGTGCACCTTACGTCATACCACTTTAAAAGGCATATCCCGCCAATAGGTAATTAGCACTTTACTGAGAAAAAGACGAGTTTATCAAAGGGTGAGGCTTTAAAGGGCAACACAGTGCCTCATATGTCACTTTCTCCCACAGAGTTGCTGAAAACTGTAGGTAAAACTAGCGATTTGTACTGATTTGTTAATTATAATTCCTGTTTAGATTGCTTGAGTGCTGACTTCAGGACAGGGTAGCTATAATAGAATGTTTTTGTATTCACTGTAGTGTTTTAACAGTGTGGTTAGAAATAATTTATTAAAAACGAGGTAGAAAAAGACGTGACTACTCTATCATGTGTATATACGTGTTTTCGTAAACAGTGCTATTTTCTTTCCTTCCAGGCGATCATTACCAAGTTATCTTTGAACCAGTTATTGTACATGTCACCAGATTATATTTCATCTTCTCAATGACCTGTGATTTTCTATCTTGACGTCTTATTCATGTGCTGTTCTCGATGTACATGTGTACGTAACATGGCCCAATTAAATTTTACATTTCTTTCCACATATTAGGGACGTGAAGAAACCGACTGGACATCCAAGACCGCAGCAGTCATGAGGACCACGGCCTACCTTCTGCTTGTGTTTGTGACATCGAACGCTTACGTTGTCCGGCGGCGTGACCCCTTTGACGACCAGGAATCCATGAGGGACGCCCTCGAAGCCTTGGAAAGCCGCCGACTGGGGGACGGGGGTCAATACTACGACGCTGCCAGCCAAGGTGTTCCATACGACGAGTTTGACGATGGTGAAGGTTACGAAAATACCGATCCATATCTTCTACAGAACCTTCTGGATGACTCCCGCCTAGGGCAGGGAGACGAAAGCTACGGCGGAGATGAAGAATTCGATCCATACCCACCCTTTGAATCCCCGTCATACGACGACGGTGCTATGTCTCCAACAAACAGCGATGATTTCGTGGGGATTAAACAGGGGGCGCCACGAGATGAACCAGTCACACGGGAGGAGCTCGAAGACCTCTTCAAATCCGTAAATGACCAGTACCAGGATCAGGATCAGGATCATGACTCGGCCCAACCTTTGAAGTTATCCCTAAAGAAGAAATATCAACCTTCCCCAAAACAGTTTAAAAATTCCAACTCTTTAACGGACACGAAAACTCGCCTAAAGAACATGAACCCACAGCAGATGCAGGCGCTGCTGGACGAACTACGAGCGGAGGCCTCAAGGGAGGAAAAGCGAAACACCGCCAAGAAGTCAACCTCCGGAGGTGACTCCCTTCAGAAAGTCAATCAAGAAGAACTTAACTCCATATTTGGGTCAGCTGGGATTAAAAAAAGTGTCAAGAAAGAGGCCAAAGAGGACGTGCCCAGTAACGAGGAAATGACCAAGAAACGCAAGCGTTCTGGCACAGATGGACTTAACAGTCGGAACCAAAACAGTGGCACTGATGACGTTATAGGAGATGCATCAACGAAAAACGGGGACGACCTCGACTTCAGAAAGCTTTATCAACAAACCGACCTAAAGGCCAACCTCCTTCAAAGAGAAAACGAATACCTAACAGATGCCTTGGATTTGGCAACATTGAGCCAGTTAAAGGGTGGAAACGACCTGGTCCCCAAGGAGGCAGACAACCTACAGAAAGCGATGGAAATCGAGTCGTTGATTGGTCGCCTGGAGAGGAACATGGTGCAACAGATAGGAGTTGATCTACATGCCGATGGGGAGCACCAGGACGAAAATGATGAAGAGAAAAAGTCGAATTTGGAAGATCTTGGTAAGTGAGTTCCGTGAAAATGATTTCTTTAGAAGAGAACTTTCTTTCTCCAGCCATTTGCCTGCTTTCCTCTGCTTCCTACTCTCTCTCTCTCTCTCTCTCTCTCTCAAACACACTTGTACACTCGCGCGTAATGTACGACATAATGTTATCATACCCGTATATTCTGGTAAGCGTTTGTTCACCCCAAACGTTTATTTTTCATTATTATTATTATTATTATTATTATTATTATTATTATTATTATTATTATTATTGTTGCGCAATAAGGTGAAGAGGGTTACCTCCGAGGCGTGGAGGACAAGAGACAGTCTTCGCCAGAAAATGCTTATAATGACATTGATGAAAAACTGTTCCAAATGCCAAGGCCAGCTGATGATGACGAGGACATGAACACGGCCTACATACCCGACGGTCCGATATATGCAGGTTAGAAAATCATATACAACTTTCACTAGCGAATGTTACACACGTGCCCCTCCCTTATCTTCTCGGGCACCCCTCCCAATAACATTATATGGAAAGAAACTTGACGAAACAAAGTATTTTTATCCCTGTACATATTATAATAAAATTTGCCTTCAGCGACTGCACATACAGCCGGTAAAGTGAGGCAGTATTATTTGAGCCCAATCCCTCGGTGAAACCCCAGATCCACCATTGTAGGGAAAGAGTTTGATGAAATAGCAGGCCCGTAGCCAGGGGGGTCCGGGGGTTCAAAAGAACCCCCCTTTTTACAGGGAAAAGGTCTCCTAAGTGGAATTTAATTAAGGTACATGAAAGTTTCATGGTGAAAGATCCACTTTTTCAGAAAAAAAGAACCCCCGTTTTGAAATTTCTGGCCACGGGCCTGAATATAGTGGGATTATCAGCTCTTTGACATCGAATCTTGATAAACTGACGGAGTGTGTCCATTCCAGACCTGGCACCTACCTGCCCGCTGGTGGACAAGATTGCAAATGGCTGCCAGATTCTCCAAGATGTTGGTGTCGTACTGGACCTAGAGGCCGCCACTCTGTGCGACAGACATCTTGTCTGCTATGCCTGTGTAAGTATTGCTATAAATACACGCATTAGGGGTTATCAGTGGTTTTGTACGAGGCTTGGGGTCGGGAATAGTCAAACTTTTTAGTCTCTCTTTTATATTTTTAAGTCTTTGTTCCTGGTACCATTAGTACCATCTACACGTACATGTAGATGTACCGGTAATTGCCGAAATACCGTATACCTTCGCGCTTAAATAAAGAAGTATATAAAAATAAGTAATGGTAAAAAATGAATTACTTCGGGGTCTCCAGTACTGTGAAAAGCTATTAACTGACCATCAGTGTGTTTTAACTTAAAAGTATCAAACTCAAAGTGCCCTGATCCTGAGATAAGTTTTAAAGATCACCGTTTTCTTGATCTGGCTCAGGTCAAGTAAATCGTTACGTACTTCCATATACCATGAGTTTTATTAATATCAGTAAGTTAGATTTGAGCTGAAATACACGTAGGCCTAGGCCTGATAAAAAAAAGACGTTAATGGAATATAAATTCGGGGTATGCAAAAAAAAAAAAAAAGAAGAAATTTGGAAGGTTTTAGAAAAGGATATATCCTTATGTTATTATCTCCTACATGAACCAGAGTCACAGAGAGAACGGTTTCAGGAGATATTCACGGATGTTGCTCTGGCTAATTCTGTGTACATTTCTGTATAGTGCCAGCAAGAACTGTTTTACACACAAAAAAATTGTACGTCATTACCCAGTTGGTCTCTAGTAGAGAGTGTTATTTTTTTCTCAATAAAAATACCTTCACGAGTGTTATATTTTTCTTCCGTAGGGTGCCGCCGTTGGAGGGTCACGTGACAGCTGTGATCAAGGATTCCTGGCGGCTGCGGAGCGGGCTTGTCGTGACAGCGAAGAATGTAAAGAGGGCGCCACATCAGTTTTACTTGCTCTCCAGAAGTTGCACGCTTTTAACCTGAACAAGCTGAATGCTTGTCGAGCACCTTGCGTCATGGATTTCGTTGTGAATGGGGAATATTAAGAAGATTAGATGCACCAACATTTATTTTTTAAAAAGAGAGAGATTGCAAAGTATATTTAAGTTGTTCGGAATTATATTTTATCTCTGGCATTTTCATCATTCCAAGAATCTATTTCCAAAAATACCGGTACGATTATTTGAAGGCGTAAGTTATTTATTTCAGAAAGTTGTTTTTATAAACAAGCTGTTTTCATGTTGCTTATTTTAGTGTGTGCAGGCCCGGATAAACCTGTCTAGTTCATAGGCAAAAAGACAATTCAGAATCGTTTAATTCAAGAGCTATCTGTAGTTAAATGTTCTGTAAAATCAAACACATACGTACATTCCCTATTTTTATTACGTTTCTGTCAAAACGAATGAAGATGATGGTGTCTCCTCCTGCTCCTGCATAAAAGACAGCCCTCTATACTATAAGGCTTTGGATATAATAGAAAGAGAAGGGGCATGTTGATACGAAAGAAACGCAGGGCTTTCACGTGAATAATTGTCTGGCGGATTCAGGAGCCGTGGAGAGTGTAAGGGGGGGGAGGGATGCAAGAACTAACAATATAAATAAACACCGGCAGATGTGTACATGTACTATTCTATATATTTTGGACAAATAGATGCGATGGAAAAATTTTATTGGATTTTCCTCTTTTTGCTTGTTAACTGCAGTCAGGACGCATCAGAAGTTATGTCAGGGGCACGGGTCGGCATCCCCCCATCCCCACCCCCACGTTATACGACATTTTTATTATTGACACTTTGAAACTGAACAGGTAGATACACGGTAGGCCCATTCAGATAGGATTTTGTTTGGTATACTGTGCACTCTCGTTTCTTTCATGTTTTAGCATCATTGTGAATGCCTTGTCATCAAAATTGTGTAGCTGTTGGGTACAGGAAAGACAATTCTCGATTTCACTGTTTACTTGAGTGTCTAAAAAGCTTTTAAATTGAATAAGGATTATCAAAAATGCATAACCTCCGAGCAAATTAAAAGTTAAGTGTTGGGTGTAAACGAGTGAGAATGCTACGTGCAATCCAGCAAATTTCCAGAATTTTCTCAGCTGTGTTTTGTGCTCTAAGTTCCAATGATAAAAGGTATACGCAACAATTCCACCTGCATCCTCATTCACTGATGAAGGTGTCTTGTTCTAGACACTGATATATTGGAGGGGTAAGAACCGTGGAGTTTTGCTGGTGTTTCAGGAGCATAGTATTTAAGTTATTGATATAGGCAATGCATGCATAACGGGTATATTATATCACGATACCAAATTACACTTCCATACACACGATCGATTTTTTATTTGCAAAAGTAATCTTTGGTGAAGACAGGAAAATAAGTTGTGTATGTACATGTATACCGCTACGTGCTATTTTAAGGGCTATTTGTTTTTAAAAAATCGGCTCTTGTGTGGGTTCAAAAATGAACCCTGCTGTTAATATCAGTATAAACGAAGTAAGGATGATTGCCAAAGTCAGGTTAAATGATGTATATTGCATACTGCATTCCGACTGGAAATATGTAAGAGCTAAGATGACCTTCTTCAAGGGTGTGTTTAATTTAGTTGAGGAAAGGATGGGGCACCATGAAATTTGTAAAACTGAGCGTTTCGTAAGGAATAGTGCATCGAGCGATCACTGCGGCATAGATACTTATTTAAATGAAGATAAGCTTAACTATTAAGCCATTAAGTGTACTGTAGCCTCCATCGTTGCATTATTATTTATTACATGTCAGTATTTTTCTTTTCTGTACACTTTTCTTTTTGTCCTGCGTGTAGCAATCTTATTATAATATTAAAATATGAACAATGTAGTTTTTCTTCTATAACTATTGAGTATTGAGTCAACTTGTTAACGTTTTCTAACCACGTGATAAGACGGTGTTTTGAAATAAAGAATATTTGCAAATGGGCACGATATTTCTAGTACTAACAGCGCCGTTCGTACGTGTACTGAGAAAAAAAGACATATGTATCGCACTTATCAGAGAAGAAAACAATAAACGATTTAATCTCACAGACCATGCATTTTTTCTTTCATTTTAAGTCAGTTGCGAACAAGTATAGTGGAGAATTAAGCAAAACAAGATCTCAAAAAATGTGAAACTTATTTTCATGAATATTTTTCAGTGACATATGTGTTCATTGACTGAGGTTTCCGAATTTTAATTTTTTTTAATTTCTTAACTTTACTCTGAGAGAGTTGAATGCAAAATTTCAAAATGAAACAAAAAATAGGCAAATAAGTTTAGCAGTGGCGGATTCAGGAGGATCCTGCCCCCCCCCCCCCCCTTCGATTTCTGAAAAAAATCGCACTAATTGTCCCCTCTTGAAATTAGAATTCTGAATAGTTGAATCATAGTTCTAAACCGTACCAAATGGCACCTTTTGCCCTATAACATACCAAATTTTTTCGGAGCCCTTCAGCAGGCCCCAAACCCCGCGCCAAGGGGGGTCAGCTTCGCATCGGCGGACCCCCTTCAAATAATTCTGGATCCGGCCCTGGTTTAGCATTACATAAACCCCGATCTCTTTCTCTCCAGTCACACGTTATAAATATTTCTAAAATTTTGATTAACTATAACTGTATATCAACACTCCGCACCACATTGCTTAATATTTCCCATATAACAAATCCATTGTGTTAGAGAATACGACTGGAACTTCAATCTCAATCTGATATTTGTGTTAGAGAAGCCCCTCAGTGAGACGAAAACACAATAAGACGTTGATAAGTGAAGATTTGGACAAAAATGCAATAGGATTTCTTCATATTGTCAGTCATGCAAGTTTTGCCATACGATCGGTTTGTATACTAAAGAAAATGTCAAGGTTTATTCAAGATAATCTTGATGTTTGAACTTGAGTCATTTTATTTCTTTTAATTTAATTTCATTATCGTCATGTGCTTTAGATTGGGATTCGCATTAGTTGAAGCAGAAGGTACAGATGCAGGGAATTATTTTTTACGAAGGACAGAGAGATGGCAAATTAATATATATATATATATATATATATATATATAAGACGGCCTTAGGGAAATATAGATGAACGAGCTGTATTTCAGCCAGTGGAACTGTCTAGATAATCCGTGAAGTTCGAGTGCACCGTTAACCTCGTCATTTAGCCACCAGGTACTCGTACTCGCAGGAGAGGCATTTCTTATTTGATTTGATTCGATTTGTCGTTGGAATTGAACAAAAGAAATATATAATAATTATGAAATATAAGGTAAAGCAAAAAAATCAATGGTGTGATATAAATCTCCAATAGTAATTGCGAAGACACAGATTCAATAGAGGATTTTGGGTATGAATAGCGAAGTTAATATACAGAGATACAACAGTGGTCACGGGATATCAGAGGAAATTAGTGAGATCATTTGTTGTACCTCAGATTTATAAGATTGAAGTCGGGTGTTAAAACTGAATGTTAAAACTGAATAAATATGGCAAAAATTATAGACCGATCAGGTGGATGAATGGTCATCAAAGATATTACTATACAACATAAATATTTAGGTATTAATTAATCGTGAACTAAATTCTGCACAGGATCACATTATCATTCTATTGTTTCACCTATTATTTTAATCTGGTGAAATGATATTGCATTAGATCAACTCTCGACATCATGATTGACACCTTTTTGACTCCATACATGTCATTTTCTGCGTGTGCTTCTATTTTCTTATCCATCAATATTCTATGAACAACAAAAGATGAAATCATTTGATTTATTTTCAATGTCAGAATGCGTCTGGTTTACAGCAATCTCAATGTCCAAAGAAGTCAAATGAGATAAATACATCTCATTTCATAAAATAACAGACTTGAATCTCCTCTGAGTATCTGAAAAAGAATATGAGAGATTATACAAACATGTATGCTAATTTGATATTTAAATGAATATTAAACACGCATTGATGAAGACAAATACCCCTTTTTAAACCCTCCCCTTCCTGCCCCCCCCCCTCCCCCACCCCGACATCAAGTGCACTCAGAAAGTTAATACATTGCCTGTATAAGAAGGTCGCGAAGGGGGGGGGGGAGGGATGATGAAATGTAATATAACGTAACATGGTTTTATGGACCCAGAGTATGTATTATTTTGTTTTGTGCGATGGCCATGGCCGCTGCCACCATTTTGTTTTGGTAGACCCCTTCCCCTCCCCCCTTCATGAACATTTTTCAGGTTTCCTATCACGCATTTTTGGTTATTTATCATTGTTATTTTTAAAACTTCATCACAGCGGGTCTACCTATTGTATTTATCCTTAATTTAAGATAATTCATGAACTGCATTAACAGATTCTTACTTATTGGTTATGTAAATGCATATTTTAAGTGCATAGAATATATCTCCACAATATATTACCTTTTAAGGCTGATTGCTGAGCAGAGCTTTAAGTTCAGCGAGTTCTTTCTCGTTCAGCTCATCGTCCAGCTGGTTATTATCCGAGGACTGACCCTGGGTCAAAGCTGGAAATGAAGGACTGATTTAAAAGGGGATGGGTACAAAAAATCTGTAGTACACTTAACCAGGGGCGGATTTAGGCCGTCTTCTGGGTCTTCCGGAAGACGGTCAGATTTTCTAGTTTACATTGAAGGGTATCTAATTTTTTCTGTCGGAAGACGGTCAAAAATGGAAAATGGATAACCAAATATAATATGGAAGACTGTCAGGAAATATTTCTGGATCCGCCCCTGCTTAACCATTCGTGAGTGCGCAAGGAAGACTTGATAAATTAAATAAATGGGCAAGATAGGGGACGATGGCTATATTCTGTAAAAAATATTGCCAACCCACGTGTGTGCGTGCGTCTGCACGTGACTGTGGACTGGCGTGTGTGTGTGTGTGTGTGTGTTTGAGAGAGAGAGAGAGAGAGAGAGAGAGAGAGAGAGAGAGAGAGAGAGAGAGAGAGAGAGAGAGAGAGAGAGGCTGACCTGCTATCATATGTATATGTTCTTGGAGATTGTCCAGCTCTTTTTGGTCAACGAATCCGTCCTCTAAAATAAATAAGGAAGAAGAAAGGAAATGTCATATATATCCATGACATCAAGGTGAACGAGTCACTCCACAGTTTTGGAGTAAAACATGCATGATTATTACACGTTACATTATTTTTCTCTGCTTTATACGACAGTAATATCCAATATTGAAAGAAAAATCTAATCACCAAGTGATATACATGTGGCTCAGTTATGCACATTGTGTAGCCCAAAATGTTTGCTTCACTGACGTCATTCGCTTTACTCATTATATTGTGGAATAACTTATATTGTGTTATGACGTACCGTTCGCATCGAGCTCCTCAAACAGATCCTCATCTTCCATCTCATGCAGAGCCATCTTGCCGTCCCCGTCCTGATCATTCATCATAACCTGCAGTTTATTTTCCTGAAATTATTTGATTTTTCTTGAAAATCATGGTATCTTGCGCTTGATGACTGTCTTTTCTCTCTTTCATTCTCGTTCCCTGTCTCATAGCACCCTCTTTTCTCTTCTCCGGTTTAAATTCTCTGTCTCTCTCTCTCTCTTTTCCTCCTCCCTCTCTCCCTCTCCCGCTCTCTCTCTCTCTCTTGTGTACTTACGTCACCAGCGGCGGCTACTGCCGCTTTCCCCACTTTGTAACAAGTAACTGGGCGGTTTTTGCAAAAGTCGACTACACCCCTCACGAGTCTGAAAATAAAAACGTAGTTGTTCATTTCAAATTACTTTGACTTAATAGGGGCCTACGTGCACATAATAACTTAAACTCTTTGAAAGCTGGTATTTTTGTTTTTGTTTCCAAACGTATTGTTTTGATATTTTTCTTTACTCTTTTTTTTAACCACAATTTCCATGTATGGAAATTACTTTGACTTCAGAAATAAGCAAAAATAGTTCTTTGCCTTCGAACTCGTGGAAGTCTGATACGAATCCTGGGCCAACTGTCTCCTTCCTGAACCATCATGGCCACAACAGCCAGTAAGAGTCCTGTCAAAAGGAACTGCCTCATGGTGAACTGCATGGTAAACTGTGGAGAGAAAGGTGGAGTGAAAAATCTCGATAAAATTAATTCAACAAAAAGTTTTTTACACCAAATTTTGAGCTTTGTTGTTTGTATTATCGAGTCAAAGTTATAGTGGATTGGGAGACTCCTGCGTTTCACTATAGTGAAGGTAAAAACCAAGATTTAGAACTCGAAGACGGATTAACAGAACACATTTTTCTTAACATCTAGGTCAGGGTAGACACTGTACAAATAACACTTAACACTACAAACATTAACTTTAAGCCGTACAAGGACATTCTTTACAGTATAACAAATAATTTTCATAAAATAATTAAACCTAGATTTAATATTAAT